AACACTGTAGGTAGCCAAGTCCATAAGAGAGTGGCATTACCTTCAGTATTGTTTAACAATATAGATAACCAAGTCCATAAGAGAGTGGCATTACCTACAGTATTGTTTAACACTGTAGGTAGCCAAGTCCATAAGAGAGTGGCATTACCTTCAGTATTGTTTAACAATATAGATAACCAAGTCCATAAGAGAGTGGCATTACCTACAGTATTGTTTAACACTGTAGGTAGCCAAGTCCATAAGAGAGTGGCATTACCTTCAGTATTGTTTAACAATATAGATAACCAAATCTATAAGAGAGTGGCATTACCTTCAGTATTGTTTAACACTGTAGGTAGCCAAGCCCATAAGAGAGTGGCATTATATTCAGTATTATTTAACATCGTAGATAACTGAATCAATAAGAGAGTGGCATTATCTTCACTACTGTTTAACACTGTAGGTAACAAATCGATAAGAGAGTGGCATTAACTCCAGTATTGTTTAACACTGTAGATAACCAAGTTTATAAGAGAGTGGCATTAACTCCAGTATTGTTTAACACTGTAGATAACCAAATGGATAAGAGAGTGATATTATTTCTAGTATTGTTCAACATTGTAGATAATCACACTGATAAAACTTATATGTTGTATGCCTCAAGGGCAACAATCTAGATTCTTACATGTTCACTTTTAATATGTCACTGAGCAAGAATCAAGGTCGCCATATGCAAAAATAAGTTTGTTTGCTTTGTTTTACTAAGTTATTACTGGAGTTGTTCCTAAGCTTTAAAGTAAATCATAAATGTTTTAAATGATACAGATTTATAGTAAAAGCACTGAGGAGCGAAGTGAGAAATGGACTCTCGTACAGAGTAGCTTAATACAGGATACTTGAATGTTCCCATGCTTGCTATAAACTGAGATTTCAACAATGGAAAATAAGTTTAACTTTATATAATGTAGTATGTTTTATTGTTATCATAAGATGTATTGTTCAATAGAGAGAATAAGTTTACAATGTGTTGTTGTTTCTCATATAATTTAAATATTTGTCTATTCACTACAATATCATAATATCTGATTTGTTTTTTTATTAATAGTGAGAAACAGTTTGTTTTAATACCTGTTAAATGGTTTAAATCATATAGATCTTTTTTTATAATTTTTATCATATACTGTCATGAAACCCGTCTCAAATTATTATATCACTGTAGATTATTTTTCTATTACTCTAGTACATTGTCATAGCAGTTTTGTAAGTTAAGTGTTTTGTACAGTTCTAACGTAAGTTAATGTCTTGTTACTGTCACAGCACCTGTTATACACGTTACATCACTAGCATTTTTAATATTTGAGTTAATTGTTGCTCGATATAATATTTTCATTGGCTACTCAACAATGATACTATTTTGGACCTTGTCATTAAGTTTAACTATCTTCTCTTACTTCACTAATGTTTTCCATTTCTGTTCAGTGTATTATTTCATTATGTTTGTATAATGTTTCAATAATTATACAGTTGATGTTACTGTTACAGTCAATTTTAGTGTTATTTATTATCATTATTAGTTTTAATGTCTGGTTTAGAATCTAGACATTTTTTAAATATTTCTATTTTTACTGTTAACAAGCTAGGATTTTTTTTTATCCTGTGCATGTGCCATGAATTTTGTTTTTAATAAAGTTATTTTTATTATGCTTGTTGTTACTTATTATTACTTTTGAATTGCTCATAATTATTTCTAAAGTGTATTCAGTTTATAGTTTCAGGCTTCGTTAACTATTGTATTGATGATCATACCACTGGTTGTAATTACTTCCTGCCGTACTATGTCCCACAAAATATATATATTTGTTTTATAATTTGTTTATCACAACTGCATGAATGATAATTAAGGTTTTGTGTCAAGCTTCTTCTGGAGGTTGGCCCACTATTAGCTACCCTATTACTTTTCATAACCTATTGAATTATTTTACTTTGCTTGATAAAGTACTGCTGTCTGATTTCATCAAATACAGTAGCCTTCTGAACAAAATAACTTTACTAAATCATAATTAACTCATTACCTATGTACATTTTAAAGTAGAGAATGCATTATGAATTAATAGATTCTTCCTTTTTTTTAATATTTATATTGAAGTTTGCTACATGTGTCCAATTATTTGTTTTTTTATCTGGTTAATATTTTCTTTCTCTAGTATTTTTTAGTTAGTTTTTTTTTGTCAAGTATCATTAAGTTCCAAATCCAAATAAAGCAACTAATAAAGTATTGTTAAAAAATATATTATAGACTATTCACCATGGAAACAAAAAAAAAGAAATATAAATCTCCCAACTTTGCATAAACAGCTTAGAAGCTTCTGTTCCTTATTGTTACATTTATTGTTACATAGATGTTTACTTCATTCCATTGTAAAGATGTTCCTTTAGTTGTGTAGCCAAGGATAAAGTTAACAGTCAGTACTAAATGGTGAAAAAAATGTTTACTTAAACTGATCTTTTTGAAGATTAAGATAATGAAACTCCTTTTACACCTGGTAATTTATGGTCATATGTATTTATATTAGACAATGTTTGTTGTTGAAATATTCTGTAAGTCAGTTGTAAGATAAAGTTTACTCGTCATTTCTTAAAGTATTTTTACCTCATTTATTGGACTGATAATTAGGACTCTCCAGTCTCCATATCATATTGATTGAATATTTACTTGCTTCACCGAGTCCATTATAGTTTTTCCCTGTTCTAATTTTAAAGTACACTTATTCAGGTGACTCATATTGATGCAGTTTGATAACTAAGTGTTCACAACGAAGCAACTGTTGTTATTGTCACATGCTGGCCATCTTTTGTAAATAACAGTAAAAAACAAACAAACTCTTTGTTGTATGTTTCCAAGAATGAAGGTCCCATTCTTTTTACTTAAATTCAAACTTACTACAGGGGTGTTCAAACAAGTTTCTAAAAACATTTAGCATATAATCTGAAAAAAAAAAATCTCTGAAAAAAGATACTTCCCACTGAAGTAAATATGTTAGATAAAACAAAGTAGTCTATAAAAAATTAAACTTCTGACTTGTAGATTATACACAAGAGAACTAATCCATGTAGATACTTTACACAAAGGTAAGCTCCACGAATGTTTAAAATCTCTTCTGGGATTATGCAATTGTTGACATGATAATATTTGATATACTAGTTATTATTTTAATTACAGATATGTAAGGATATAAGATAACAAAAACCATTTTGCATAAGACAAAGCAGTGCTGCCACACTTTATGTTAATACCCACGGTGACAAAAAAGAATACAACTTGTACCTACATGTTATATACATCCAATATTTTAAACGTAAAGAGAAATGTGAGAATTGGGAAACTGATTGAGACTTGTCTGTTTGGTGCTAAGCAGATATATACACTTCACTATACAGCCCTCAACTCATTCCAGCATACACACATTACAATAACACTTACTACTAGGTGCATCATTAGGTGTGATACTTTCAACAGACTAATACTAATGTACATGCAACAAAATAATTCTGAAATCTTTTTCTAGAAAGTACATGGGCAAACTACTGATAATAAAAAATACCCAAATTGAAAAAAAATAAATAAGAAAAATGTAGAGTATCCAAAAAACACATGAAGTGGGGCAACCTAAAAATAAAGTGAAATCCATGGATATTTTCACACTAAAACTATTAGCAAAATTTAAAAGAAAAAGTGAAATCCATGGATATTTTCACACCAAAACTATTAGCAAAATTTTAAAGAAAAAGTGAAATCCATGGATATTTTCACACAAAAACTATTAGCAAAATTTTAAAGAAAAAGTGAAATCCATGGATATTTTCACACTAAGACTAGTAGCAAAAGTTTATTGTCTTGGTGTACTACTAGCAGTATTAGGTAATTTCAAATTGAAGCACTAACAATATGAATTTAAAATTTGATACAATAAAAGCTTTTTCAGATAACGTTATAAACTGAAAGATGATAAAGACGTATAGTAAAGGAAGGAAGTTCAACCACATTAGATTGATAGTCGGGAAATTTAATTGTATACATGTATATAAATATTGCATTACCGTTACTGGTCCAGGTTGTTTGCAATATTTAATTCATTATTGTTTTATAGTGCTGATTCAATCACCTATTAACAATTAAGGTAATCAATAGCTTGAAAGCTCTACCTATTTATGTATGTATATATATATATAAACATACACACACATTCTATTTACAGAACTTTTGTTCCTTTATCATCCTATTGAAAGTTAAATGTCATCACAACTCTTGAAGTCCACAAACCTACTTGCTCATTTTAAT